TTATAATTCAACATAATAAAAATACTATTGAAAAAATACTATTTATTTTCGAAATGCGTCACTTATTTGTTAACTTTGAAACCCCCTAATAATCTTGTTTGAAACTGATTTTTGTAAACTAAAAAGAATATTGTTTTTTGTGATTTCTTGTTTTTTTTTTCGGCTTCAATTTTTTACATGTTACATGGGGCTGCAAATTTTTTGAGCCATCACTATTTTACTCTCGTTTGACATGTCGATATTGGCTTAATTGTAGGTTTGATTTAATTAGTTGACCAACCACCAGGGATAGTAAATAACCTGAAATGGCCTTCCAAAGTTATTCTATATTTGTTAAAGCCAAATTATTGTTTTATATTTTAAAATCAAAGAATTGAATCACTTTAATCTATCTTTTCGCATTTAATTAATCGTTTGGCCATTAAATAAATTATCTTTTTTTTTTTTATTCTAGCAGTAGCTAAATTTATTGTACTTTCAATAAAAGAACTGCTTTGAATAGTTATTTAATAGAAACAATACACAATTAAATTTTAATTTTGAACACATGACATTAGTTTTTTGAAATCAAATTTTCGGTGATTTAAGAGTTACAATTCGGATCGTACTGTACATTCAAATCAAACGATGCAATGATTCTGGTAGAGCTTTTGTAAATCTGGTACTTTATGTATGACATGTGGAAATTACATGAAATTTAACTTTCTGAAATTTATGATTTATGTAAAATTACATGTAATGTTAAAATTATAATTCATGTAACACAGTAGTAAAAAAAAAAAAGATTGTACATAACAATCGATATGCCAATAATGATAAGTGATTATCAATGTGATGGGTGTCAATTTTTATATTATAAGAAATTGTAAATTTTTGAAGCACTATTGCAAAATTTTATTAATATAACTGCTTTTGTGTCTTAGCGTTAGTGAAAATAATCCTATGTTAATTTATGTAAAAAATTAATATTAAAAAATTTGTTAATTTTCTCTTTTTGCAGCATCTAGCCCAAATAATAACTATACTAAAACGTTATTAATAATATTAAATCATATCCTTCGTAATCCTTTTCAAGCAAGGCTCGTTTTTCTTTTTCATTTTTAAACATTTAGAATCTTTTTTGCAAGAACAATTATTATATTTGTTAATAAATATAAGATAGTAAGTTGTAACTTTTAATCTTGATAAAATTTTCTTATAGGTTTAATAAAATTTATATGAATTAAGTCTTAACCTACAGGTAGACTCTTGAACATTTTATACATATGTTAAACTTATATAAACTATTAGTTAATATAATAAACTAGTTTATAGTTAGCTACAGTTTTAGAGCAAGATATAGTTTATTTATGTTAGTTGTAGATTATGGTTCACATCTCTATGTTAAACCAGATAAAGATTAAAAAAAAGGCTTTTCTATTTATGCATTAATTGACTTTATTGAAGCAAAGCCCTGGGTTTATATAAATATATGATACTTCGATTAAGAACGTAGGTAATTCTAATATTTTTTTTGCCAGATTTTTCTGGACTTTTTTTTTTTCTTACAAACATAAATGAACCCTACTTTTTTTTTATCAAAGAAAACAAATTACTTTCCTTAATGTCATCCTTTTTTCATACATATATACACATGCACACGCACATACACAACAGTTTAAAGGAGAAAAAAAAAAATAAAATAAAATAAAAATAAAAAATTAACTTTTAATTCTGGTTGAACTATTTCGGTATTGCGATAATTAACCTTCTTGAGCAGGACATTGGCTCTGAAGCCATTATGGCTTCAATGGCTCATTGGTTAATTTGTAATACCTTTTTTTTGGCAAGTTTTTTTGGACCACAAAATTACTGGCAGTAAGTAATCTTCTTGAGCAGTACATTCAGCTCTGAAGCTGCTACAACTTCAACAACTCGTTGGTCAGCTTATTTGATCTAATGCTTTTTGTTGAAGGATTCAATTAAATTATATTTTTATAATACGTATCTTCTAGAGCTCAGATAAGAAGTCTAAAGAAATGAGCCAAATTGCATCGTAGGAGACTACAAATAATACAGTAGAAAGGGTAATTATTTAAAGGCTCAGATTAACATCAAATTTGGCAATATTAATTCATGTTCTATCGCTATTTGACGTTTGGAGGAATTTTTATATAAATATACTTCGACCAAGAGAGCAGGTAATTCTAATTTTTTTTTGCCGGCTTTTTTCTATTATGAACATGAAACACTATAAATGAACCTACTTTTTTTTTTCTTATCAATTAAAAAAACTTTCCTTACTGGCATCTTTTTTTTCCACACGCGTGCACACATACAGTTTAAAGAAGTAAGAAAAAAATATTTAAAATGAAGCAAATATAAATATAACCACCTCGTCAGTTTTAGAAATAATTAAAATTGTTGAGATAGATCTATTGTAGGTAAAAATTACAAACATTACAAGCAGAAATCGATCACTCCGCATTCTATAGTTATAAATTATATAATTAAAAATAACATATTGATATTAAAAAAAATTGTGTAATAAATGATATTTTGTCATATATATATATTCTCACTTTTGATATTTTTCTTTATTTCTTAGAAAATTTATCCATGATTGAAACTGTAGAAAATATTATTATATAGTTATTTATCAAAACTTAGATTTAAATTTTAGGTTTTGGTATTTTATGACAGGTGATTATCATCATCACATGGTCTTGTTGTATCTAAAGTAGCCACCCTATCTAAAGTAGCCCTGGGCTAAAATTACGATTTAGTGCATGCATGAAGATCTAATTTCAGGGGTCTAATTTTAGTCAGGCACTACTTTATATATCTAAAGTGGCTACTTTAGATAAATTGCTACTTTAGATGCAACAGTCTCGTCTAACAACTCTAGGGTCATTTCAACCTAACAGTACAAGTGTTTCACAGTTATAAGTACTATTTAAAAATGAAGCATAGAAAATTTATTGAAATAAAATTTAATACCGAGGAAGAAGTTACAATTTACTTATTGTTTAACGAATTTTGATTTCAAATTAAACTTAATTTGGGCCGAAAACAACTATTGGGTCACCCATATTTTAATTTTTGAATTAATTAATTCAAATAAAATAAAATAAAATAAGGCAAAAAAAGTAAACAAAAAGAATGAATGGTTTATAATATCACAAGTATACATGGGTGCCTAAATTATTTTTGAAAAATTGTATTTTCGGCAAACATTTCGGCATTGCTAAATTTTTTATATGAAACCTTTCGAAATAACTATATTAAATGATGTATTTTGATGAAAGGTGTTCAAAAAATTTTGGCAATAATTTCAGCAGATATGAAAATTAATTTCAGCACTATATAAGAATAATTTCGGCTATCTAAATGCCATAATTACTTTTTTATTAAGATGGGCAATTTAGACACCCATGTATAATCACGAGATCCCAATTTTGCCAAATGATAAGTATGATTTTCAACTTCTAATAAGGCTGTAAATACAGAAATATAAAATAATTAACGCTGTATTTGAATTAAAAAATTTTGAGAAATGGAATATATACCGAAAGAAAGGACTTAATCCCGACAAAGTTAGTCAGTATTATGTCCTTTCGGGAAAATGGCTTTCGGGATTTTATGGTAAAACCCTTAAATTAGATGTAACTTAAAAATTAAAAATTCAAATTTCATACCCCGTGATCCCATAAATTATAAATGCAACAATTAAGAATCACCTATTTTTCATATTGTTAGTCTCATTACTATATAAAGTGTTATTTATGGAGTCAATTTAGTTATATCACATGACTACAGACATATAAATAAGTCAATTGAAAATTTTTTTATTTTTATTTTTTATTTTTGTATTGTATTTGGTTTTTTAAAAAATATTTTTAGTCAGTTTATCATACAGAGACAATACAAAAATGTTTTAAAGAGCTGCAGAATTCTGGTCAAGAATAGTCCAATAAATTCAAATAAAACTGCACTTTGTAAATTCAAGAAATCTATATAGCACAATTGCATGAATTCTAATTCTTAAAATTTAAAAAAATCTTAAAACTTACTTTTTTTAATTAATATTTTTCAATTTTTTATAAATCAATTCACTAAATTAAATAAATACAAATGGAACAATAGGATATTAAAGTAAAAAATTACAATTTTATAAATATTTCAACATACTGCGCAATATACCAATATTATATAAAAAGATAAATTTATTATAGTTTGTCAAGTATACTTAAAAAATCAATCAAAGAATTATATATACAAGTTTCCATTAAAGGTGGTTTTCCAATAATTCTTATAATGAGCGGGAATCTTAATAGTGGTGGTTTTCGCCCTGAAACTGATAAAAAAAAAATTATAAGTAGTGGTTTTCACTTTACAACTGATGAAGAAAATGGCAAGAATAATATAGGAGGTTTTGCTCTGCAATTAATAAAGAAAAAAGAAGTAATAATGTAGGAACTTACAAGTAGAAAATTTCCATTCTCAGATTTGTCCCAAAATTATATTATTCCTGTCAGAATTTTTCTTGGGGAATGGAAAAGATGATTCCTGGTACTCCTCAAGAATATGCAAATATTTACATAGATTGTTGGTATTCGGAGCTGGAAAAATGCCCTAAATTAGTTGGAATTTTAAATAATCTTGATAATTTATCAACAGAACAATTTGCAAAGTTATCATTAATGATATTTATACAAAAAAATAGGTAATTGTATCAATTTTAAATCAATTATTCTGAATTAAATACTCATAATTCTATATTATATGTCTAAATGAGCAATGTGATGATAACCAAGAAGCAAGCAATCAAATTTTGGCTACGACCATTTTTTCTGATGCTAAACAGAATATATCAAAAGTTGAATTTGACAAAGAATCACTTATAAATAAATCTGAAGTTAAATCTAATGATGTACATGTGTTAGAATCTAGCAGTGTATACTATAAAGATATCACTTATTGATTTAATAATTGCTTGATACTAAAATTAAACATCTTCGTTTGGAGAACGTTAAAGCCAGTAGATATTTAATCCAATCTGCTAGATGAAACAAAAGATAAATAACTAAATATATGAAGAAATAGATATTAAAGGCTCAATGCGATGTTTTTTAACTAATAGACATTAACACGTGATTTCTGTTTTAACCCTAATTTAGTCAAATTAGTGTTAAAACATTACATTACCTAGCTTTAATGTTTTAACTAAAAATGACATATGATGCTTAATTTCTGATGCATGCTATAAGTGTAACCAATCTTTTAAAAACAATTTTATTTATTACAGAACAGCCTATATTTGAAAATGCAACACTGATACCCGCCGCATAAGCTGTTTTCAAAACTTCTAATATTTTTACTTCCGAAGCTAAGAATAAGAGACTTTTAAAACTACTAATTCATTTATTTTATTCAGAAAACAAAAAGTTTGGAAATTCAGGATAAAAATCCAAATGCTACCCTTTTTGAAATTTCTATAAAATGTGGAATGAAGTATTGCCGAAAGAATGTTTAGCATTCAAAGAAATGGCAGAAGCAGTAAACCTTAAACATATTAAAGAAGATTCACCTA